ACCTCCACCACCTCGACTCCGGAAAGTTTTGGTGATCGTGGACCTCATCGCGGTTCGTCCGCTTATGACCAAGGTTCATAGTGACGTCATGGCTTCAACAACACGTGAAGTCACACCATCGTTGAATGTGATGGAGGAACGAGCTTTGTTCACATACAATGTACTTCTCAATACTCATCGCCTTGAATCCTTCACGGTGTACAACCTTTTGTACTGCATCAGTCAACACATCTGGTACACGTGGGATCATTACCTGCCCCCATCCTCCATGGACATCAGATGGCAAGATGAGACTGGCGACACATTCGCTTGTCGCAATGAACATCGACTGGTCGACCTTTTGCATGAGTGTCGACCTCACTGGCTCGAAGGTCAGGATGCGGAATTTTTCTTCCAGACTGAGACCCGTCCTTTTAGGTCTCACCTGGAGCCTTTCATCGTGCGCATGAGTTGCCACGAGGCCTTGCCCAATCGCAACATGCTTCCTTAAGTTTAAAAAGTTCCTTGCCTTGGGTTTTAGGACATTCAAGTTTTGTCGCTCCTTTGTTTTCTCTTACCTGATAACTTCTTCAGCACTTGGCTCCAGCTGTACCATGACTAAGCGTGATTCCTCATTTGCCGGTATCACGTATCCTTCATCCTCCATGAGCATGCCACGTCGTCTTTCATGGAGATCTCGCGGTCATGGGCAATCCAGTAGCACTGCTGCTCCTTCGGATTCATTGCATCCTTCTCGCAGCGATACTGCTCCCCAAGCTGGACCTTCCATCTCACCTACAGGATCAGGTGAGTACACACCTCACTACGGGTACTCTTCGGAAAACCTTGCCACACCCATACCATCTCCTGCCGATCATCAAGCTCCAATTCTCCCTAATCCTACAGGGGAAACATATCCACTCCAGCACGAGATGGAAGAAGTCCGACGTCAGCTCCATGCATACTACTTTGTCGAGGTCCAATCACCTTCAGATGACAACACCAAACCGGCACTTCGCCGACTTATGGTGACGGAAGTGGATCGACGTGGCAACCATCACAATAGGCAGCCGGAATACTTTTTCAATGGCATCATCGGCCACATTCGTGCCGGCCAGAATGGCTGGATTGACTCATGGGATCAATCCTCCCAGCTCGCCAACTACTGGCGTCGCTATTTTCAGATTCCGGAGATCTCTCCGTATGGAAATTGGCATCCCCATCAAGATGAAGCTCCAGGAAGCCCTGATTCGGTGCATGAATCCGGCATGGATGACACCGATTCTATCATTGCCAATGTTGACATTAATCCACCTCGTGTCCAGATCCATCAACTGGCAACGTTCCTCTGGAACATTCTCAACAATGACAGGGAGGCCAATATGGCCATACTCGAACGTCTCGAGGATACTGAAGGTGACCTTTCCCGACACCCAGTTCAGATCTTCTCGGCGGCAGATTTGGCTCACCTTGCCAGTCACTTGGCGGAATCTACAAGGACTTTGTCAAACCAAGCACGTCGCATGGAGGCATTACCTGACGAAGGCCTGTGAGCTTTAGGATTAATTCATTTGATGATTCTTCCCTGTATTTTGAAGCCATTTCCGCTTCAGGGATCGGATAATAGCATTCACCGTTTGCGAATCTGAGCAAAAGCCTCGCGGCAGCGAGGCGTGTGTGTGGACCATCTGCATAGATGTAAAACTTCATTTGATTGTTCTGAATTTTCTACTTTATGTTTGCAGGGGGATGGAGTGTGCTTCAGATGTCTCCATCCAACGAAGACGCATCTGTTGCACAGTGATATGGATTGGGGACGCTCAATCCACGTACCTGCTCAATTTTCATTTTCGTCAATGGCGACCGGCTAAGCCAAGTACCGGCATGTCGTTTGGTTTTACAATTTCCATTATGGATTATGCTGCATCTGAACCTTCTTCAGAACTTCGGTGTCAACAGGTTTCAATCCACTGTATGGTTTTCGCAATCTGATTTACTGCTGACTTCGTCAGATGGAACAGTTGCTTTTTGCAAAGACAAAGAAAGAATTCATCTACATTGGTTTTCCTGCCTTGTCATCCAACTTTCGCCTGTCAGATTTTAGGGGATTGTTTGTGCACGCCCGATGCACTCCACAACAGTAATTCGATAAGATATTTCTGAGCAAGTGTGTGAGTGAGTGAGTGAGTGAGTGATGAGTGAGTGAGTGATGAGTAGTGATGAGTGCAGCGCGGCGGCGGCGGCGGACGGAGGAGAGCGGCGGGATCCAAGCGAAAAACAAGAACCCCACACAGTGATGTGGGGAATAAAAGGACCGGATAACCCCACAAGTCAACTTCTTCCAACAATGAGCCAGAAATGTTGTAGCGGGGACGGGGAAGGAAGGAAAGACAAAGGAGGAGGTGGAGGAAAGATGGTGTGTGACAAAGTTGTGTGTGTGTGAAAGATGGTGTGTGTGTGTGTGCAAGATGGTGTGCGAAAGATGGTGTGAAAGATGGTGTGTGACAAAGATGGTGTGTGAAAGGTGGTGTGTGACAAAGCTGTGTGTGAAAGATGGTGTGTGAAAGATGATGTATGTGACGAAGTTGTGTGTGAAAGATGGTGTGTGACAAAGTTGTGCGTGAAAGATGGTGTATGAAAGATGGTGTGTGACAAAGTTGTGTGTGAAAGATGGTGTGTGACAAAGAGGTGTGTGAAAGCTGGTGTGTCAAAGATGGTGTGAAAGATGCTGTGTGGTGGGTGACAAAGTTGTGTGTGAAAGATGGCGTGTAAAAGATGGTGTGTCAAAGATATTCAAAGATGGTGCGCGAAAGATGGTGTGTAAAAGATGGTGTGTCAAAGATGGTGTGAAAGATGATGTGTGAAAGATGGTATGTGACAAAGTGGTGTGACAAAGATGGTGTGTCAAAGATGGTGTGTGTGAAAGATGGTGTGAGAGCGAGCCCGGAACTCCTCCACACGCCAGCCAGCCGCGGCCCAGCGGCGACCACGCGCGGAGCATCTCCTCCAGTACGCGCTGTGTATTGCGCCTGCCACGCGAGACAGGCAGTCGCGGCCCAGCGGCGACCACGCGCGCCGCAGCTCAGCGAGGAAGCTCTGTCTGCTGCGCCTGCCACACAAAAGGTAGCCGCGGCCCAGCCGCGACCACGCGCGCCGCAGCTCCGCCGGGGAGCTCTGCGTGCTGCGCCTGCCAGGCGAAAGGCAGCCGCGGCCCAGCGGCGACCACACGCGCCGCAGCTCCGCCGCAAGGCTCTGTGTGCTGCGCCTACCACACGAGAGGCAGCCGCGGCCCAGCTGCGACCACGCGCGCCGCATCTCCTCCAGAACGCTCTGTGTACTGCGCCTGCCACGCAAGGGGTAGCCGCGGCCCAGCTGCGACCACGCGCGCCGCATCTCCTCCAGAAGGCTCTGTGTACTGCGCCTGCCACGCGAGAGGCAGCCGCGGCCCAGCGGCGACCACACGCGCCGCATCTCCTCCAGTACGCTCTGTGTACTGCGCCTGCCACGCGAGAGGCAGCGGCGACCACGCGCGCCGCAGCTCCGCCAGAAGGCTCTGTGTACTGCGCCTGCCACGCGAGAGGCAGCCGCGGCCCAGCGGCGACCACGCGCGCCGCAGCTCCACCGGAAGGCTCTGTGTGCTGCGCCTGCCACACGCGCCGCAGCTCCGCCGGAAGGCTCTGTGTGCTGCGCCTGCCGCACGTGGCACAGCGGCGACCACGCGCGCCGCATCTCCTCCAGTACGCTCTGCATGTGGACTGCCCCTTCCTCCAGTACGCTCTGTGTACTGCGCCTGCCACGCGAGAGGCAGCCGCGGCCCAGCGGCGACCACGCGCGCCGCAGCTCCGCCAGAAGGCTCTGTGTACTGCGCCTGCCACGCGAGAGGCAGCCGCGGCCCAGCGGCGACCACGCGCGCCGCAGCTCCGCTGGAAGGCTCTGTGTACTGTGCCTGCCACGCGACGAGAGGTAGCCGCGGGTGTGAGAAGTGGGGCTGTGATAAGTTGTGATGTGGTAAGTGAGGTGTGAGAAGTGGAGCGGTGATGAGTGAGGTGTGAGAAGTGGAGCTGTGATGGGTTGTGATGAGAAGTGGAGCTGTGATGAGTTGTGATGTGATAAGTGAGGTGTGAGAAGTGGAGCGGTGATGAGTTGTGATGAGAAGTGGAGCTGTAATGAGTGAGGTGTGAGAAGTGGAGCTGTGATGAGTTGTGGGATGAGGGAGCGGCGCGGCGGGAGCGGGAGCGGGAACAGGAGCGGCGGGATCCAAGCAAAAAACAAGAACCCGACACAGTGATGTGGGGAATATAAGATTAAAAACACCATCCTATACATAAGGTCCATAGTTCCTTGCGGAAAGTGCTCGAAAAAGAAGGTAAAGCCAAGATTGAAAAATGAAAACCATCCTACACCTCAGGTTCCACAGCTCCTTTCAGAATCAACATGGCACATGTGTAGATTGTTATTATATTATGGTTGGAGGGTCATAAGGGGGGCTAGATAGAAACCGTGGCAGAAGGGTGTTTAAGTTCGATCATGTAGGTACATAAAGGGGATTTACAATGGGGACCCCATAAAGGTTCATTTGAGATCCTTTTGAGGTCCATTTGAGGTCCTTGTGAGATCTTTATTTGTATTCTATTGTTTTCTCCATAGGTAGGAGGTAAATTTGAAGACGTTCAACATCGAATTTTACATTTATTTGAAGTTCAAGGAATTTCCAGTAATTTGCAAGGAATAATATACCTTCTATACCTCTATATTACATGTCGAAATTATAAAAAAATAGGTGTAGAAAACGTGTAGGATGTATTGGAAATACCCGGCGATTGGGGACCTACACACAACGCTATGACCCCCTGCGTTTTTTTTGAGAAAATAAATGCAATCCCGTAAAAAATGAGGGGACCTACTAAAATGAAATCTTGCAAAAAAGACAGTTAAACAAATAAATGCGTGCCAACATTTAACAGGACCACCTCCCTCAAAAGCGTTTAAATTGTGCACACCTTTTCTGGTTCTTTTCCTAGGCGAAGCATGAAGCTGCTTCGTTTTCCGCTGTGGAAGCAGAAGAAAGGTTTTCCAAAGGGCAGGACCCATTCTTGATTTGCAGCAAAGTTAGAAATAGATGGTGTGTGTGTGTGTGTGTGACACATGCGCTTGATTTCTTGCGCTGCATATGTTGTTTGTTTTGTGTCAAGCTTTGACTTACATGTTTGAAAGCGCCAGCTGCCCTTGAAGGAACGGTTGGATGAAATTTTGGATGTCAGACACAAGGCAGGGTGCAAGCTGTTGTCTAACTTCTGCTTTGTCGCCGCGTTGCAAACTAGCTTCACGGTATTTCACAGCTTTGCGTTCCCGTGCTTTGCAAAGATTAGGGGGTGACTGCATACTCTATTGTGCATGCCCCTTGTCGCCAGTGTTTCATCCTGCTTTCGCCGTAAGATTTGCCTTTCGGGATATGTCACTTCAGTTTTGCGTTGAGCTAGACTAGACTGGAGCTGCTTGGAGCCCACGAACCCTGACTATTGTTTCCGCTTCCGTTTTCCTCACGCTTTCTCTGCTGCATTTGTTTCGCTGCGCTGCGCGAGCAAAGAGTTGCCCGTCTCCAAAATTTTGATATTCAAAATATTGGGGTCGGCTGGGCTCGGCTGAGCCGAGCTGGGGGAGGATGAAAAAGAAACCAGAACAGAAACATCTACTGAGCAAAAGTGATAAACATGTTAAGAAGTGAGCAGTTTCTCCAAGCCTCCAAGCTTCAGCAACAACTCCCACCATTCGCAGCGTTCAATAACCCAGCTGACCCTGGTTTTGAAACTGAGGTTGCCCATGCTTTTGCAGAGTCTAGTAGCGTTCTTTGCTAGCAAACTTACCTTTGAAATCTTTTCAAATTGTTTCTTGTGCAAGATGTTAACATATTTTAATCTTCTATCTAGAATCCTTTTCAGCACCTGGGTTTCGTGTGCTGCACCAGCAGTGCACCCCCCCTTACTTGCACCGACTCTTCCTTGTACTGACTCCCTGCTGGAACAACCGACGCGATGCCGTGCCTGTGCGCTGCTCAAGTTGCGGCGGCTATTGTGCGGCGTTCTGCCCTCTTGCTTTGATGCATCCTGATGAACTGCAACGCTAAGCCCGAACTATCCTGCAGCACTAATATTGGAACCTTTTTGAGAGCTAGCCAGTAGCAGCTCAGTCTGCAACACAGTCCTTGACCAAACATACCTGTGTTCTCCTTTGCTTGCTCTAAAGTAGACCATGCGTGTGTGAAAGCAGAGCGGTTCGACAGGCAAGACACGGTATGGGCTCACCAATCCAGCCAGGATGGTGTGTGGTGTGTTTGCAAAAACCGTTGACAAGGGGCTTTGGTCCTGCCAAGTCAAGCCTGCAAAGGCAGAGTTGGCCGCAGCCCGGCGAGTTCAAGAGAACATTGTTGCTTCGGGGAAGTTGGAAATCGCGGAGAAGGCCCTGCAGCAGAGGACTGCATGAGAAATTTCTTTCCCAGTGAAAGACAGTCTTTTCTGATACAGACAGGGGTGCGGACACGCGGACAGACAATTCTAGACATACAAACCTATTCAAATACAATGAAATCAGATATGCAGATTGCAGATGCAGTGACATGCAGACAGAATCAGACAGATATGTATGTATATATAATATATGGTCCCGTCCTCCGTCTCTCCACCCCCCATGGGTAGGGGTAACGTGTCTACACAATGCATACAGTGAGCATGATATGTGACATATTCACCTTAATTCGTATATACCACTGCGCCGCTCCGTGGCTCAAGACTTGCTAGCATAACAGTCAAAAGAGTGCTGCGTGCCGCCCGTTGACCACAAGTGTTGACAGCTGTTCAGCTGGGATCTAGGGCCCCCTGAACACTGGGGAAAGCTACCTCAAAGTGCTACCTGTGCCCTGCCAAGCTCTGATATTCGGACTGCAGCTTCATTTTACAAGTCAATGCTTGACAATGCCTTACTCCGAGATCCAGATCGTGGCCTCGCTCATTTCAAGGACGCATTGAGACCATACTTCGCGAAGGGAGTAAATCATGTCTTTCTTTGGCGATTCCTCCAGATGCTTCGCACGTACTGAGGCCAGAATGAATTCGTGCACTGGATAGGGCGTTTTGAGATTGCACAGAAGAGACTCCTGGCATCATGGGCCGATTTGCTTGATCTATCCGATTTACCGGAAGTAGGCACCGCAGAATTTTTGGCAGCATTCACCGATGAGCAACGCCAGCAGTATCAGCTTTTGCAGACTGATGAAGATAGACTGAACTATCAGGTAACCCTTCGAGAACAAACCATCACGAATCGGCGAGCACAGCATCAAAACGCAAGACAGTTTGATGTCATTGATCTTTTTCGTACAATCAGACCTAAATGAACAACAACTTGAACGTTTTGTTTCATCAATGAACATTCGACAGATCGCCATGCCACAGTACACATACTTGCAGGTGAAACAGCTTTTCCTCGAACTGTTCTGTGTTTCCAGGACTGGCGTCGCTGATCCAA